GAGAACTTTAGTAAATATTTTCCCGGCACAGTCCATCATTTATAGTCCTGGGATGATGTAAAGTCGATGTTTATTTTTTTAAATTCTCTCCCCACTTGCAGATCCCACCGAACCTCCCCTGTTCAGTGACGCTTCAGCCGGGTCCCGAGGACACTGGAAAGGTACGCTATATATATATCATAAGATCCAGGAGCTGGTCTGCCCCCTGGTGGCCGGATGTAAGATAACGCATGTGGACTCTCATTGGAAGCATGTAGCACACCTAGGGGAATTGGTGCTGTTCAGCTGGACTCGACTTATCATTCGGCTGAGCCGGCTTGCGTCTTGCAGGCAGCAGCCTAATGATATTAATTCATTATTTGGCCCTCGGTTCACGGGGACGGTCCTGGCGCCGGGCCCAGAGAACCGGTCTGCGGTTGATATTAACAGTGAACTGCCGGGCAAGCAGATCAATCCGCAGATGAGATACAGATATGGGAACTGTGTTACCTGCCGAGCGATTTGTATTCAATCCAATCCAGCCCTCCGATTTACACAGCCCCGTCACACAGCACAGCCCTGTCTGGCAGGACGGGAGACCTGATTTTTTTTCCTGCTACAATAAAGGTGACACTTACAGGTCTTGTCCCTCCCCCCAGCATGTGATTGGACAATGAAAGAAGCAGCACAGTGATGGGCTCATTTCTATGTCACTCTGCTTTCTCCTGCTGTCAACGTGTTCCTTGTTAGCACATGAGCATTGCTCCTTTTTGTTCATAAGGTCACATCCAGGTACTTGGCAATGCTTGCATGTAGGGATGTTCCGACACTTTTTTTTTTAAGACCAAGTACAAGCACTGTCCCCCAGGAACTCGCCGATACCAATCACCGATACTTTTTCTTAAAGGGACATGTGACAGACTGATGATTTCTATGGCAGTTTCTCACCAGAACGGAATACGTGTCCCCACAGCAGAATCCCTCTCACCAGGCCGCGTGTCGATCTCACCCGGGGCGACGTGGACATCTGCAGTGGCTCCGCGGGCACTCCACCTCACCGACGATGCCGGGACCGCGGCCTCCTCCACCTCCAGTCCGGCCGACTCGCTGCGCTGCTGGGCCCCATCCATCTCCCGGCCCAATCCTCCCCGTCAGTGCGGGGGCGGGAACCCCCAGCTTCTAGCCCCGGGGCGGTAGTTCCACCCCCAGGGCTGTCCATGGCTGTGCCTGCATCGGGAAGGAGGAGATAAAGAATGGGACCGGCACTGCCATGGACATCTATCTGCCGGTCCCCACAAGGCTGCCGAAGTCCCCACAAGCGCGGGAACACGGACGGCCGCTGCTGTTTGAACATTTAAAGGGCCGGTATCGGCCTTAAAGGAGAACTATGGGGTTAAGGCTTTTCCCCATCGTTCTCCTTAGGGTAACGGGAGGACACAAAATCGGGGCGAGATCACGAGTACACGTACTCCTGAAAATGCCTGGATCGGCCCCCCTGATACAGATACTAGTATCGGGACATCCCTACTTGTATGTAATAAGAATACATTGAATGATGACACGGTGGATACAAAGTTGCATTATTTGTGTCTATTATATCGGATACATTGTTATTATGAGGTTCTTATCGCTGACGCGGCTTCTTTTCTGTGCCCAGGCCTGCGGGGTGGACTATGAAGTGAAGGCTTTCTGTGCCGAGACTTTGGAGGAGAAGATCCATAAGAGGTAAAAAAATATATATTTCGAGGTTCTGATTCGGTACAAAACATCGCTCGTCATCTGATTCCGGGGATCCTCTCCCAGCCTTCGGCTTCTGTACTTATACTATCACTGGAGGCCGGACCCAGCATTTCCCAGGGATACATTCCCAGTCTATGGCATGGACAGCCCTTCTGTACTTATACTATGAATGGAGGTCAAAGCCTCGCCCTTCCCATAGATACATTCCCAGTCTATGGATGGACAGCCCTTCTGTACTTATACTATGAATGGAGGTCAAAGCCTCGCCCTTCCCATAGATACATTCCCAGTCTATGGTTGGACAGCCCTTCTGTACTTATACTATGAATGGAGGTCAAAGCCTCGCCCTTCCCATAGATACATTCCCAGTCTATGGATGGACAGCCCTTCTGTACTTATACTATGAATGGAGGTCAAAGCCTCGCCCTTCCCATAGATACATTCCCAGTCTATGGATGGACAGCCCTTCTGTACTTATACTATGAATGGAGGTCAAAGCCTCGCCCTTCCCATAGATACATTCCCAGTCTATGGATGGACAGCCCTTCTGTACTTATACTATGAATGGAGGTCAAAGCCTCGCCCTTCCCATAGATACATTCCCGGCCTATGACTCGAGTAGCACTTCTGTACTTATACTATGAATGGAGGTCAAACTCTGCCCTTCACAGGGTTACTCCCCAAGTCTATGGTTAGGATAGCACTTCTGTATGTATACTATGAATGGAGGTCAAAGCCCCGCCCTTCATATAGATACATTCCCAGTCTATAGCTTGGATAGCACTTCTGTACTTATACTATCACTGAAGGCTGAACCCCGCAAAAGCCCATGGATACTTTCCCAAACTATGGCTCAAGCAGCACGTCTGTACTTATACTATCACCGGAGGTCAAAGGCCACTTTTCCCAGGGATACTCTCCAAGCCTATACGGCATTAATAGCCCTTCTGTACTTATACTATAACTGATGCCTAAACCTTTCCCAGGGAAACATCGCCAATCTATGGCATGGACAGCCCTTCTGTACTTATACTATCAATGTAGGTCAAACCTCCGCCTTGCCATGCATACATTCCCAGCCTATGACTCGGGTGGCATTTCTGTACTTATACTATCACTGAATTTTTTGCTCTGCCTTCAATAAATAAATGAGAGAGATAATTCTAGATGAAGATTGGGTCTTCCTTGTCCTACGCTCTCCCTGTGCACATTATGAACCATGTGACTTCATATCCATATAAAATCATCTCTGCTTTATGACCAGCAGCCCCCGCTGACCCCAATAATGGCTCTCGTGTGTCTGGGTGGAGCCGCCGCTAATTGTGGAGCTTCTGTTCCTTTCCCTCGTCATGACCTCATCCCTCCACCTTCCTCCTCCACCCTCCTCCTCCTCCACCCTCCTCCTCCAACCTCCTCCTCCTCCTCCTCCTCCTCCTCCACCTC